TTCCCATGTCCTTTTTGCCTTTGGGCTCTGGTCGCCCATCTCAGGTAACCTATATCCTAGAAAGATTTCGTCATAGTTTGTATTTGAGTCTTCGCGTATTGTTTGCATGACTCTTTCCTGAGTTTCCGGTTCAAGCTCTTCAAACAGTGCTTGCCCATATGGGATGTGCTCGTTTCCAAATATATGTTTTTGTAGCCATTCTGGTTTTCTTTCCATGTTACCAATAATATCTTTTGTGAATGGGAAAGCTTTTACCCAATGTTTCAGTCTTGCGTCATTTATTTCTGTAGTTGGTTTTATTTTGTCAAGGAACATGTTTTTCAATACTAACATTTCATTTGGTACTGTCCATTTGAGTTTTCTTAAATATTCATCCCTTCTCGGTTCATTGTCTGCAAAGTAAGTTTTTATGACATTTTGTAAACTTTCGTTTGCAAGGTCATGTACAATAGGTTCTCTTCCTTCTCTCTCCCTAAACTTTCTTTCTAAACTCTTCACCAAATATACCATCTCTATGGTTCTGTGTAGTTCTTTGAGATAAATGTTCTAGAACGTCAGGTGTTATATTTCCTCAGCCATGTTCATTTCATACTGGTTCAAAATATCTGCATCTTTCATATCTTTCAATGGCATTAAAGCCGCGCTGAAAATACCAGCTACATCTGGTTCACATTCACTTCCATTGCGTCTACAACTTCTTGGAATTGTGGTTGTAAGTTTATGAACCACTATCCGGATTAGCTTTATGACCCCATCTCATTGTAGTTCCATCGTCTGCAGAAACAAAAGTAGGTTTGTTTCCATATTGGCTAGGTTCTGAATGAACTTTAAACAATGTTTCATTTCTATATGTTTTGTTGAAATTTAACCTTTTATTTTCACCGAGTTCATCCAAAGATTGAACGTTATATGCTCGTAAGTAAAAAGGATTGTTGTATTTGTGTACATTATCTTTCAGTACTTCCATTCTATGCTGGATATTTTCATCTGATGTTGGAGTCTTTTGTATGTCGGCGAACATTTTTCGATATTCTTCTACTATGTCAGCTGAATTTTTCTAGACTCTTGGAAAGATTCCATATTCTCCGCATACTCTTGTTGAGGGTCAAGATTTTTCGGCTGTTCCAAATCTTCATCTAGTTCTGTGAAGTTAGTTTCCAAAGGAGGGACTTGTTTGTTTCCTTCAGGCTCTTCTAGCTGTTGTTGCTGAACTATTTCTTCCATGTCTGGTTGTATCTGAACTTCTTCCTGTGGAGTTTCTTGTACCTCATCTGCTGGCATTTCATATATTCCGAGACCGTTTTTAACAAGTTCCCTATTTAAGCCATCCGCATTCATAACCCTTTCTTCTTTCGTTCCGTCTCTATTTTTTACGCGTTTCATGAAGATAGTTGAATTATCATTTATCTCTGACACCAAATATCTTGGAGTAAATTCATCCATGTCATTTGGATGATATGCTATTAAATCATATCCCTTAGCGAGCTTGTATTTTCCAGGTTTGAAATTATATCCCATTTGGTGCTGAACCATAAAGCTAAATAGGTTCGGGTCAGTATTTCCTTCCTTGAACTTTCTAATAGCTTCTTTATATCTGTCACTAAAGTCAAGAGTATCTGGGTAACCATAGTCTTCCTTAAGCATTTTAAGAATTCTTGGTTTCCTTGTTCTCTACTTCTTTTATGTCCTTGCTCTGTTTGTGGTTTGTTGTGGTGCAGTGTTTTGAACTGTTGGTTGTGGTGCAGTGTTTTGAACTGTTGGTTGTTGGTGCAGTGTTTTGAACTGTTGGTTTGGTTGTTGTTGTGGTGCATGCCTGTGTCTGTGTCCATGTGACGATGTAAATGTTTTAGGTAGTCCTGGTGCAGGTGCTTCTCTTGGAGGGTTTGGTGGTATATAAGTTCCACTAGCTAGTATATAAGTTCCACCAGCTGGTATATAAGTTCCACCAGCTGGCACATATGTTCCATCTGCAGCATAATGTCCTACCTGACTTTTCGTTCTTAAGAAAGCATTTACTAGGTCTGTTTTGGTCTGTTGTAATCTCTTTTCTTGACTTTCCACAACAGTCGCTCTAACGGCGTCATAGGCACTTTGAACTGCCTGTTCGTCTTTGCTGCATCTGTTATTTTCGTCATATTTTGTGCTACTTCTCTTAACTGTTGTCGAAACCTTCAGACTTCAGTTTCTTTCCAGATGAGAAGTCGTTCACTAGTTTCACCTTACTATGAAGAGCTTCGAAGGCGTTCTTAAAGTCAGCATTCATTAAAGCTTCATTTGAACTGTCTTCATCCGCTTGTATTTTTGTCCTTATTGACCCTATAAGTTGGGCTGCTTTAGCGTTGGCTTGGGCATCTAACCAGTCATTATTAGCTTTTATATATTCTGCGCTTTTCATTGCCTTTTGCATGGCTGCGTCGTTATTTTTACTTTCTTGTGCTAAGTTTTCATACTGTACGGTTTGGTTTTGCAACTGTAAAAGTTTTTCTGCCTTTACATTTGCTTCAACTTCTTTTTTATACTCATCGCTATCCATATATGTCTTCAGGGCTTTTTGTTTTATCTCTTCATCTTTCAGTACTTTATATTGAGTAGTATGGTTTTTCAAATTTATAACATCTTGTTCCATTTTTGCTACTTCTGCTGCTTTTTCTGACACTTTTTTCGCATATTCCTCTGTACTTAGTTCTTTCAGTTGTTCTTCTTTCTTCTTTTTCTCTACGTTTAACTCATTGAGTTTCTTTGTGTGTCTGTCATATTCTAGTTTCTTTTCGTTTTCACTTATTTGTTTCTGTATGTCTATGTTTGACTTTTTGACATCTGCTATTTGATTTTTGAGTGAACTCAAATTCATTTGACTTTGAGGGTTATAGGCTGTTCCGTCTGCAGCTCCACCATAGCCTGTCATTTTCGCTAAAAGTGCCGCTCTTAAACCTCCACTCTGTGCACCAATAACTCGGTTTAAAAGCATAGGGTTGCTTGACATTTGTTGCAGCATAGTGGGGTCATTCATAATTTGTTGTTGCAACTGTTGTTGTGGTGTCAGTTTTACTATGGGATGTTTCAATGCTCCCTTCTTCTTACGTATATTCTTACGTAGCTTACGTGGCATTTTAAGTGAAGTAAAAAACGGTTTTTGACAGATGTTTATATGACACTTTTTGTTCAGCTCAAAGTCCAGTCTACTTGGTATTGAAAATCCCATGTGTTATAGAACGGCGGGTCCACTATAAAGAAAACATTTTCCTTGTCTTTATATTTTTCATACAAATCTGTCCAATGACATCTCACAAACTCTATACCCTCAATATATTTTTCTATGTCCTCTTTGAAAACATTTGTATAGTTAAGATATAAAACTTTTGACATAAGTGTTTCAATGTCATGAACTCTTATAGAACCACTATATAATAGTCTAGCAGATATACTATCCCAGTCTATATATTCTGCTTTTTTCAAAACCTCTCTCACAATATTTTTCTTATCTAATGGTATACGTTCCATCTTACCTATAGGTATCTTTTCTTTTAACTCACTCAATATTTTGTTTGTGTCTGGTATATGTTTGAGACGGTCCATATAGTTGTCGAAGTCATTGCATATAATCTTTGAGTCTGGAAATATTATATGGCACAAATGGGATATATAGAAACTTCCACCGAACAAATCTACAAATGTTAGACCATTCGGTAGTTTCTTAAGTTCTCTCAATATAATATCTTTACATTTACTCTTATTTCCAAAGAACGGTAACGGTGGTTTTGTAAAATTCATTTATATATATATAAAAATGTTTTTACCTGAAAAGTGACAGAAAAGTGACAAAACATTTACGAAGAAGTCTTGACAAAACATTTTACGAAGAAGTCTTGACAAAACATTTACGATGAAATCATGAAAATTCAAGAGGTGAGAAAACAGGTGAAAAAACGGGTGAGATCTCACCTCTTCACCTAAAATATATTTTTGTCTGATTTTACGATGAAATCATGACAAAACATTTACGATGAAATCATGACAAAACATTTACGATGAAATCATGAAAATTCATGAGGGTAGAAAAGAGGTTAGAAAACAGGTTAGATCTAACCTTCTACCCTAAACTTTATTTTTGTCTGATTTTACGAAGAAGTTTTGACAAAACATTTACGAAGAAGTCTTGACAAAACATGAAAACATATATAATTTGTGAAAAGTGACACATTATATAATGTTTTCGACCCAGAAGAAGGTTTTCCGAATAAAAACTTCATTTATACTAAACTTTTTATGGGCTAGAGGGCACGAAGTGCCTGGAAGGCCATCCCAAGAAAAAAAAAAAACTTCATTATACCAATCATCCTCAGGGCTAGAAGGCACGAAGTGCCTGGAGGCCCCACTACCTTTTTTTTTTTTTTTTCGTGGTTTCATTATTGGTTAGCCGATTCACAAAATTTGTGGTTTTTTAAATTATTATTATTGTCGTCTGGCGGTTTTAGACGACAATGCGAATTTTCAAATAATAGGATTTTTAGCCAGATAAAGAGCTACTCCATATATCATGCGTGTTTGCATACTATATACATAGATGGAATTGATGTTCTTCCTTTATTTAGGTACCGAAACATGCTTGAAAAATCTATTTTTTAGACGACAATGATAATTTTGTCACTTTTCCAGACGACAATAATAATTTGTCACCTTTTTAGACGACAATAATAATTTTGTCACTTTTCCCAGACGACAATAAAACATCCTCTTGATAAATTTGAGCTTTGAGGATCTATGTTAAGCAAGGAGATATTGTATCGCATCTATTTAGTTATTCTGAGATTTAGGACGAGTTTGTTAAAACAAAATTATATTTCGTATATTAAGGAAAGCATGCTATAGAGCTACATTGTGCGTATTTTTCTAACATTCCACATGCATATATTAATAATTGAAGTTTGCGAATTAAAATCTTGAATGACGAATTTGACGCTGTAAAAAAAGATCATAAAAAATTTCGAATTGAAGATTTTATGTTTAAATTTGAGCCCACCTTTAACATAGGTGAGCTCAAAGTCGACAAGAACTCTCGATTTCGTGTTGTTGGTGAGTATGATACAGACAGTTTGCTGTTTTCTATTAATACTTCCACTCATACTTTTTTATATTTGCTTACTCCATCAAATGATTTAACCCTCGTGATGTCATTTCGTTATTTCATCGATATCATATCAGCAGAACTCACAGATGACCAAGAATTTCTATTTTTCACTGAAAGAATCATTAATAATACGACTTTTACTTTCAAAACTACACTCTGGCATGTATATTCATTATCAAAGCAGCAGATTTACGAAGGTACTACTCCTATGACTGGATTCTTTATTCCAAAAATTGGGGCAAAATATCAAATAATAACAATCAATGGACAAAAAATTGAGCACAACGAGATTACATTTAATGATAAAAAGATAAAAATGTCAGTAAAACATGGTGGAATGCAAATTAAAGATATGGTCAGATTTTTCTACAGCAGGGACCCCATGTATCTAGCAGTATTCAGGCCGAAGAAGATACTTGAATTCTATAGATTTGATAATAAAGGTAACTATACTAAAGAAAATTACGAATTTGATACGAATCCCGAGTCATTATTACCATTAGAGCTAGCATTATATCCATCTATACATAGAAATCTGTCGATCTACAAATTTACAAGATCAAATTTTTATGTTTTCCCATTCGGAAACGAAATAGGAATAATTGAGCAAATTTATCAAGGATACAACAGTGTTTTAACATTTGCTGTTTCAACTATACGCGATAAATACTATGAAATTACTGCGATAACAGGAATTGACCCTGATTATCCATTATCTTTTATCCAACACGGAAAAGTCGTCTTTATTTTCATCATCAATATGTTTGCCGCATTTGTAGACTTCACAACATCACCACCTGTCATTTTTGTCCTTCCAACAAAGTTTTCTTCAGGTCCATTAACAGAATTATCGACAAACATCAGGATATCGCATATAATATGTGACATATCTAGTTTTAAACTATATAAGTGTTCATTTGACATACAAGACTTCTCAAAAAACGTTGATTTGAAAGATAAATCAATTTTATCTTTGCTTGCGATTCTTTGTGCACGACTTCCATATAATATAAACATTCCTTTACTCATAGACAAGATATCCTCCATGAAAAATGGCGAATTGATGATGCATTTCTTCGAATGGTTTTTCACAGCGGCTTTGGCCATTTGTACACCAGGAAAAGGTCGTCATAAGAAGAAGACAGAGCGATTAAAGAAGAAAGACGACTCCTTGAAGATCCCACAGAACTTTGTGAACGCGATTAAAGAAATGGAACAAGATTATCCTAGTTCTGGTGATGTTTCTCGTGGCCAACAGTTTATGAAGATTGTTTCATTGATGTTGGAGAAACAGGGTAAGAAACAAGCTAGTTTATGTCCAGAAATGGCCATAAAAATTCTGAGGAGACACAATGAAGCATCGTTAGTTTTGAGAACAGCCGTTGACAAGTGGATTTCGAAATACAAACCAGATGACGAGAAAATCTTTATCACGAAGATGGCATTGATGACAGAGGTACAGTTATCATCTGCTCCTTCTCTCCCGAGACTTGGAAAGGAACTCGAAATGCTTTCTACAAAGATTTGCTCAAAAACAATGTACGAGACATTGAAAGACAACAAAGCATTTGGATATGTTCCTCCAACTTCAGCAAAAAAGAGAGAAGAACAGCTGTTTTGGTCAAATAGATTCTCTAAGAAAGATATCGCACAGAAAGAGAAATATGACCCAATTGCATTGCCTAGATCTTTCTCTTCATTCGCATTACCTGTTGGTCCGAATCTTGACAATTATTTGTCTAGTTCAAGTGATTCAAATTATTCTTTAGAAATGTAAATAATTCAATTTTTTTGTGTATTGTAATAAAATGATATTAATATTTTTTTTATTATCATTATTATGTATGTGTGTATGTGTTGTAATAAAATGAATAATATTTTAATATAAGGTCGCCAAAAAAAAGTACGGAAATTAAAAACCGCAGTTTTAGTACTTTCTGAGGGTCTGTTCGTCAGAAAGTATACATTTGTAAACTTTCTGACACCAAAAATTTTCAAAGTTTTTGACAATGTCAAAAAGTATACATCGAGGTTCTCAATTTTCCTCTCAAACGGCTGTTTTTTAAAAACCTTCAATTTTTTATCGACCTTATCAGGCTCTCAACAAAAATTAGTTATATATGACTAATAACAAAATAAAATGTTTGGAAATCCCAAATCGATTTTGTCTACTTGAAGCTTGGGATACCCATATTGAAATTTTTTAGATAGTATAAAAAAATATCGAACTTTCTTATTATTTGGTTGGTTACTATGTAAACTATAAAAGCATGCAAATACACCTACATCTTTATGTCAATACAAGTTGTCAGAAATTTGATATATTTTCATATGGGTGTAAATATACAATATGTTTTTATTTTATCTTAGGTGTTCTTATCTCTACACATCAATTATTTCAATTTCCCTCGACCTTTGTTGTCTGAAATATGAATTAATGCATATGGGTGTTCGAGATTATTAAAATATATCCAATAATCGAAAAATGTATTTATAGATATATAACAACAAATCACTTCCATACCGTTTTTTTATCTAGATATAAAATTTAGCACTTAAAATTCATAATATACGATTACATTTTCAACATTTTGATTTGAATTATATCATTCTTCAAGCTGTATATAAATTAAAAAGAGTAGAAATGAATGAAAATTTAACTTTTATGGTTTAAACTTGTTCTTCATCCTTGTTTTCTTCGTCATTTCCGCCATCTGATTTTGGCTTGATGACGAAGAAATAAACGCATACAGCTACTATTATTGCAACTATAATTAAGCAGGCGATAACAATACCAGCTATTGCTCCTGCGCTAAGACCACCTCTTTTAGCTTCCTTCGCAAGGCCGTCCTTTAAATCTGATGTGGATTCTCCGACTTTTGCAACTGTTTCGAAACTGATTTTTCCTGAAGCGCCCTCTTTAACTAAATCATGAAGAAGGAAATGTGTCTCTGACATATCCATGTTTGTAAGAAGTTTGAAATAATCAGTGCTAGTGCCAACAATAGGAACCATAACTTCTTGGTAGAACTTATATGTATTTGTTATCTTTTCATTATCGAGGGTTTTGATGAGATCATCAGCTGATGTTGTTACTGCAAGAGAATCAAGAGACTTTTTAACATTAGCAACAAGCTTCTTTCCTTCATCTGTAGATGTTTTGATTGCATCGAGAACTGCATTTATTGTAGCTTTTTCAAGCTTGCTAATAGCTTCAAGTGATGATTTAACATTGATTCCTAGAAGTACAACATCACCCATTTCTGCTCCTTTTTCTTTAAACTCGTTACAAGCTTTAAGATATGAAATAATTTCATCGCCATATGTGATGCATTTAATGAAATCTTCAACAGTAGCTTTTTCAATATCAAGTTTTTGTAACTTTCCAAATATTTCCTCTGCAAATTTACCAATTGTCATGAAAATATCATCATGGTCTGCAAATATGCTCTTTATTGCCTTCATTGTGTTTGTGAATGTCTCCTTGTCAAATGGATCAACTCCGGAACTTTTAACTAAATCATTGATTGTAACTGTTAATTCTGGAAGTGGGAGATCAATACCAAATATAGCTGTCAACAAATCATCAAGTGATATACTAGTAAATAAAGCCTCATCAGTTCTATATTTCTTAATTTCCTTAAGAGTTTCTTCTGGGTTGTAAACAATTTCCTCTGATTCTTGTTCAGTTTCTTGAAGCTTACGTTTAGATTCTGTTGGTTCAGGTTCAGTTTCTTCTGGTGTGGGTTCAGTTTCTTCTGGTGTGGGTTTGGTTTCTTCTGGGTTGTAATCACGTGATATTAAGTCTTGAATTCCATTTAAAATAGAAAGATTTCCTTGGTAAAGGACATTAAAAATGGAATATTTTCCAAATGTTGGCATCACAAAACCCATTGCTGGAGTCTGAGGATCTAAATATGTAACAAGCTTCTTGAATATTATAACATCCTCTTCAGGAATTGTGAAATATGAATCTTTCTTTGCCTGTTTGCATAATGTATAAATTTGGCCATATGATGAATTTTCAGATTTAATCCCTTCCAAAAAATCTTCTGGAAGATTTGAATCTTTGCGAGCTTCATCGATGATTGCAATATAGTTATCAATCATCTCTTCAACTTCTGATTTTGATTTTGGCAAAACATGTTCTATTGGAGTTAATGCGAGAACTAATCCGCTTGCTGTTATCTTCCTGACTCCATAGAACGCAGCTTGTGCTGCTGTAATTGCAGAATTAATTGTTTCGACAAGTTCATCTAATGTAACTTTATCATCTTTGACTACATCTACGAGTTTTTCAAGGAGTTTGAAGAAGTCACCACTATCTATGAAGAGGTGAGCAATACAGTCTCTAATTGAAAATGTGTCAGTTGTCATTACTCCTTTCGCAGCTTCACCCATGTAATAAAACCATTCTGTCGGTAGCTCAAATGCTTCTGCAATATCTTTGAATGTTGTTTTTGAAGTAGCTTTGGACAAATCTTCAACTATTGGCTTGATCTTCTTAGAATCATACTTCAATAATTTAAGTATTCTTTCTACATGTGGCCAGTATTTGATACAATCAGCAAAGAATTCACTTTCGAGCTCAAATGACTTTAATATCTCTGAAACAGCAGTAGTATTTTCTACATACATTTTAACATTGGAATTGTAGATCGTTTCTATTTCTTTAGAGCCATATTCTTCAGAAAACTTTTTCATTAAATCAGCAAGTAATGGTCTAATCTTTGAACTTTTATCAGCAAACTTGTCAGCATATGGCTTGTAAGTGTTATATTGTTCTTCCGGTACATAGTCTTTGATTTTGACTCCCTCTTTCGTTAAGATAGTTTTTGGAACATTAATATCCTCATTTGGAATCCTTAGGAATAGAAGGCAAGAGATCATCAATGAAAAATGAATTGATTTAAAGCAAGTTAAATTGAAATGGGAATTAAATTTGACTTATTTTAATATTTAATAAATATTGTTAATAGCCAAATAATATATGTGTTTTGTTTTTCCATGGCCAATTCAATCTAGTTTTTGAGTGCTAAGTAGGATAACTCTTTAATTCAATTTTGAGTGTTGCTTGAAAAATTAAATAGTTGTAATCTTTGTTTAAGATTTAATTTTTCAAGAATCAACTTAAGCGTTGAAAAAAGGGTTTTTGTGAAATATACTAGAAAGAAAAAAAAAAAAAAAAAAAAAAAAAAAAAAAGGAGTGGGGCTTCCAGGCACTTCGTGCCTTCTAGCCCTGAGGATGAATGAGTATAATGAAGTTTTTTTTTTCTTGGGGTGGGCTTCCAGGGGCTGCGCCCCTTCTAGCCCACATAAATGAAGTTTTTATATACGGGTCTTCCAGGAGCTTTTCACAAAATATATATGTTTTCATGTTTTGTCATGATTTCATCGTAAATGTTTTGTCAAGACTTCTTCTTCGTAAATGTTTTGTCAAGACTTCTTCGTAAATGTTTTGTCAAGACTTCTTCGTAAATGTTTTGTCAAGACTTCTTCGTAAATGTTTTGTCAAGACTTCTTCGTAAATGTTTTGTCAAGACTTCTTCTTCGTAAATGTTTTGTCAAGACTTCTTCGTAAATGTTTTGTCATGATTTCATCGTAATGAGCGTAAATCAGACAAAAATATATTTTATGTTAGCATGTTAGATCTAACATGTTTTCTAACATGTTTTCTAACATCGTAGAAAACTCATGATTTCATCGTAAATGTTTTGTCAAGACTTCTTCGTAAATGTTTTGTCAAGACTTCTTCGTAAATGTTTTGTCGAAACTTCTTCGTAAATGTTTTGTCATGATTTCATCGTAAATGTTTTGTCAAACTTCTTCGTAAATGTTTTTGTCAAACTTCTTCGTAATGAGCGTAAAGGACCCAAAAATATAATTTATGTTAGAATGTTAGATCTAACATGTTTTCTAACATGTTTTCTAACATGGTCTAAAACTCTTGAATTTTCATGAATTTTCATGATTTCATCGTAAATGTTTCGACAAAACATAGACAAGAAAGTTTTGACAAAACATAGACAAGAAAGTCTTGACAAAACATAGACAAGAAAGTCTTGACAAAACATTTACGATGAAGTTTGACAAAGTCTCAACAAAGTCTTTACGATGAAGTTTGACAAAACATAGACAAGAAAGTTTTGACAAAACATGTACGATGAAACCTTGACAAAAACATATACGAAGAAGTCTTGACAAAACATATACGATGAAATCATGAAAATTCAAGAGTTTTAGACCATGTTAGAAAACATGTTAGAAAACATGTTAGATCTAACATTCTAACATAAAATATATTTTTGGGTCATTTACACTCATTTACGAAGAAGTCTCAACAAAGTCTTTACGAAGAAGTCACAACAAAGAAATTTTACTAGTAAGTAAATGTGGTTTGAAATAGGACTACTTGTTTTAGGTTTTTTCCATTGTGTCATTTACTTATTTGACGTGGCAGAAAGATATAGAGAATATGAAGATGAACCAATGCCTGCAAATGTTCAGTATATGTACTCGTAAGAGATATTTTTATCTAATATTAAATGGACGCACAGAACTTAGCGAATGCACAGCAACCCGGACAACCAAACCCAGAGAATATTCCAAATGAAGTTAGAATACAAACTGCAATGGCAAACTATGGTCAAGTGCCAACAGATGTACAAATGCAAACTGCCATGTCAAATGACGCTGCGTTAGGTTTGCCACCATGGTATGCAAATATGAGATGGAAAGAGTTTTATACAAACCCTGAAGTGGGATATAAACAACTCTATGCAGATGACGCGAACACAGGAGTTGACCCAGAGTATGTTTTCTACCAGAGGAGAAATAGAATGTATGAGCTCCAGTTAAAGAATGCTATGGAACTCAGAAGGAAACGTAAGAGACTAGGTGGACATTAGATTTTTACATATAGTAAAATGGGTTTCTTCAGTAAGATAGGAAACTTCTTTCGAAATGTTGGAAGAGGTATATGGAATGGAATAAAAACCGTAGGAAGGGGAGTATGGAACGGAGTCAAAAATATTGGTAAAAGGGTAGGTCAGTTCGTTGGTATTATACCTAAAGACCCTGAACCAGAAGAACAAGCTCCTGTTATACAACAGCCTGAACCTGCACCACAGTCAAGTTGGCAACCAAATCCAACACCTCAACCGTATTAAAAAATTATATTTTTACCGTTCGATAGTAGTTGTATATGAAACTAAGTTCTAAGTAAAACGCATGGTATAATGGAACTATTCTCTTTCTTCCATCTGTTGTAAACCATACTTGAAAGTCTGAAATACTTCCACTCGGTGGTTCATATAGCTTTGTAGGTTTTTCGTAAAAGTCATTTGCCAAGCATAAAAAAGAGTTTTGTGCACCAGAAAATGAAGCATGAACTATAATAGCATCTGAGTCGAAAACATTTTCATATGTTCCATTAGGGTTTTCGACTTCATAAAAGTTCGGGTGTACTGGATATTCTGCAGGCTGATTTAACATCCTCAAAAATCTATACCATGCCAAGTTGTTATATTTTGTAGAAATATAAACGTCTTCTCCAAGGTCTTCTATTCTATTGATTTTAACAGTTGCATTTTTCCTGTCATAAACAATATCGAGATGGTACTCTCCTTCGTCAATGTTGTACTGTTTTGCATATTCGAGATAGATATCGTTTATTTTTTCTTGAAAAGCTTGAAGAGTTGTTTCTAAGTTTACAAGCAAATTCACTTGTAAAAGTTTTCCCTGTTCAAATTTCTCATACGTATGTTTTTCTTTGTTATAGTATCGAACTTCAAAAGCGACCGTAATGGGAAACCATGTATGGCTTCTGAAATGAACTTCATTCTACGAAAGCCAACAGCTTTTGTGACGGATGGGTCTCTTAGCCATCTCAATGGGTAGTCAAAACGATAGCCTTCGTGCTTTACGGTCTCTGTCTCAAACTTTTGACCGACATTCGTAAAAAGTTCATCTAATGGTTTAGTTGTAGCAACTCTTGAATTTTCTTTTTCTATTGAAAGCATATTTTATCTAGAATAAAAATGTCGAAAGAAACAGCGTCTATGAGAGAAATACAACACAACCGACAACTCATTGTACAAGCTCTAAATAAGAACACAACAAACTTTTCAAACTATTCTAAGATATCTGAGTCATTGAAAGAAGGAAACTTAAAACTGACATTAAACCCAATGACAGACGAGTTTCTATTTCAAGACAGTAAGAACCATACTGTTTGTATAAATCCAACAAAAAGAACTTTAAACGAGAAACCTATAGATGAACTTCTTTTGAAGGCAGATATTGACAACAAAGCTGACAAAGAGTATGTAGATGCAACAAGAGACTATATTCTCGCATGGACAGATAGAACATACCCACAAAAACACCATACACATAACATCTATGACGTAGATGAACTACCAGCAATGTTAGATGACAAAGCGGATAAAACATATGTTGACAATAAAATGTCAAGTGAAGTGACAAGAGCTGACAAAGAATATTCTAAAAAGACTCATACACACGATTTCTTCGCAACTGTTGGTATAGAAAATATTGCAGGAACGGTTGAAGAACCTGATGGAACTGGTGGGGATGTACTACTTTGGAAACCTCCTAACTTTCCACAAGGTTTAACATCGGATGAAGACATAACGACGATGAAATACACTAGATGTAGAAATGTCTATGTCATGGAGGATGAAAACAAAGTTAAATTCACTGCTCAAGATTTATATGACAACAAAGCTGACAAAACATATGTTAACGTTGAGTTAGATAAAAAAGCTGACAAAACATATGTTAACGATGAGTTAGTTAAAAAAGCTGACAAAACAGAGCTTCAAACGTTAAAGACAGAAATACTTCAAACAGTATATCCTATAGGTTCTATTTACACGTCAATGAACTCTACCAGACCAGAAGTAGTACTTGGTCTCGGAACTTGGACTCAAATAGTCGACAGGTTTTTGTATTGTGCAAACTCTTCAAAGGAAACAGGTGGAAGTAAAACGATTTCAGGTGAAAACCTACCTGCACACAGTCACTACATAGATTTAAGTACATCTCAAGCAGGTTGGCATAAGCATAGATTTTGGGATTGGTCAGCAATGAAAAAAGGTAAAGGATACGATGTTAAAGACGACGTTCAGTTTGCTATAAATTGTTTCTGGGGTAGCACACAGGGAGATGGAAACCATACACATCGCGTTTCAGGGTATACGCAAACAACGGGACAAAGTAAAGACTACATGCCACCTTACATGACAGTTTACGCATGGTATAGAATTGCTTAGTCGTCATTTTCAACTTCTTTAGCATATTCGTCAGGAGTTGTCTTATATTTGTTAGGAACTGTCTTTGAAAGTATACCACCTTGAACTTTGACAAGTTTGAAACGAGGTCTGACAATAGTAGTTTTATCTTCTGCTTGCAGTCTGTACATTTTGCCATGTTTGCCTAAAACTTCATAATATTCTCTTGTATACTTTCTTCTATTTTTACGAACACGAATGCGAGTACCTGTCGAGTTCCCATTGTTGTCATAGTCAATAGTATTTTCATATGGGTCGCGTTTAGGTATTTCTATTTTTACTTTGTCACCTTTCTGAAGTTTGAAGCCTGGCATTCTTTCTTGTTCATCCCTTTTGACTAAACTATTAAATATATAGTCTTTCTCTAAGTCGGGTTGTTTTTCATTTCTTCGGGGGAGTGGTTTCCCAAACCTTTTTGTTTACGGTTATTGTAAATATTTAAAACTTGTCTCATCTTTGCCATGGAGAAATGTCTGTATTTGTCGTCATATGACATTTCATCTACCTCACCACCTTGTGGTTGGTTTAAGTCTCTTAAGATTTTTATACAACTGTCAATGACACCAAGAGCAGAATGGTTTTGGTCGACGATGAAATATTGGTTTACATTTTTTGAACGCAGATAGTTTTTAATATCGTCTGATTTGAAAGAACGTTCACAGTCAGATGTCAGTTTTGTTGGATGGTATTTGTCAACGAATATTGTCAAAGCAGTTTTCACATCTAAAATATTTTTGGACTGTAATGGTATGGCTTCACAGTATCTTGTGTTTTGACCGACAAATATTAGCCAGTATGGTGGTCCATCTTCTCTATACCTCGGAATGTTTTCCAAGATATCCATAAACCAAGCATTTGGTGTTGAACTAAAGATTTTTACCATGAGTGCTTTCTTTGTCGCTTTAGAAACATAGGGGTCCTTGTTTGGATTCGTCATTTTTATCCTATAAGAAATGGGTTTATTTGGCGCATTAGCAGGAGTTGCATCCAGATTTTTGCCCGCAGTGGGAACAATAGCCAGAGGTGCATTTGGAATTGGAAGGAAGATTTTGAGTACATTAGGTATACTGAAAGAGAAAGCACAGCCTATTATACAAACCGTACAGAAAGGTTGGGAGGTAGCACGAGATGCAACAAATCTTATTCCAAATCCTGAAACAAGAGGAAAAGTTCAAGGATGGATGGACAATGTAGGAAGAGAAGCAGGAAACTACTATAACAAAGCAAATGACTACTATAACCAAGCAGGACACTATATGGACCAAGGTGAAAGATTCTTTAACAGAGGATATAACCATGCACAACAGTGGGTAAACAACAACCAACCGCAACCGCCTCAAACGTGGGGAATGTAAATTTTTTTACTGAGATGAAATGAACAATACAGCATTGAGACAAATGGGCTCAAGATGGATTTGTCGACTTCCAGTAGTTACACAACCACGTGTTTGTCAAGTTCTTCCTATACCTCAAGAAGTTTTAGACCGACTTAAAAAACCTAAACAACCAGTTGAAAACAAACCAAACTAAAATTTTTTACTGAGATGAAAATGACCGAAGAAGTTGAAACGGTAGATTTGACACCACAAACAAAAAGTTCAGAACCATTGTCAAAACCTGTCAAAGAACTTACAGATGAAGAAAAAAATTCAATAATAGAAAGTGCCAGGTCTGGAAATACAAACCCTAACTACAAAGTCACTTTTCATAGAAATGGAACGGCTAGTATCTCAAAAAAGAAACAGACTCTCACAAATAAAATATTGAAGTCTGAAGGAGCTTTCGAGACAACAGATGGAAAAGTTTACTTCACTGACCAACAGTTCATTATAGAACATCTCATTGACTTAGAGTCGAAATATTCTAAACTTTACAACAAACACAAAAAGTTGAAAGGAAAACAAAAACAGATGGCATATGATATTTATGAAGATACTAACGACACAACCATACCTGCAAGTGAAGTAAAGTCAGAGGAACCGAAAAGTGACGAAAAACCAATAGAAGAAGGGAAGCCAATAGAAGAAGGGAAGCCAAAACCAAAGGTTAGTATTGAAACTAAACCAAGTCAACCTTCATTAGCTGGTATGGGTTGGCGTCAAAGACTTATGGTAGCTGGTGGTTATGTTAAGTAAAGAAAAAAAATATTTTTTTATTTTTATAAAAATGCCCCCGCATAGAATGGATAGAAGGTCTGCTAGAATAAAAGCAGAGTTGCAAAGATATGGTTGGAGAGTTTCAAAGAATTTTAAATATAGGAAGGGAAGACCCATAAAAGTCTATGACAAATTGTCTGGTCTGACCTATGAAATGGACTTGGAAACAGCACGCGCAAATTATCCAAACAGACTAGAGAGATTAGAAGAAGAGCGTCTTATGAACTTGCCTTTCGATGTTAGTGAGCCGCAGGTTGAAGGACACGACGGCTTTGCCAGGTTCTACTGGAAACATAACGAACAGTTGCATCCTTTGAGAAGGAAAAAAGGAAAAGGTGAAGACAAACATGCTCCCATGGAAAGAACAAGATATGCATATGAGAAGTACCGTGAAGTTAGAAGTCAAATTACATCTGGTCGAACCTTTACAGTAAACTTTGACGAAGGAAAGAACAAAGAAGGCTTCATGGGAGTACTTGCTGCCATTCAAGATGGAAATAAGAAAGGATACAATCTCAGACTAACTATAACAGATTTGGACGGTCATATATACTATGCACATGGCAATGTCACAACAGCCGCACAACTTCTTGACGCTTTCAAGACTACAAAGAGAGAACAAATGGTTGACTCCGACTCAGACATTTTGAATGCAATTGAAGGAATTGTAAGTGTAAAGTTCGAACGATACCAACCTAACCCTCAAGCAGTCAGACAACATGTTTGTTAGATGAGAAATAAAAAATTGCATACTATTTTAAAACAGTATATTTTTACATATATTAAATGTTTCAGGTTGAAAAACAAAGAACAAAAGTAGCAGATACAAAACCGTTAGACTATATCTTTACAAACGCTGGTAGGACTGTATCAGATGAAGAAATTTCATCTGGCTCCTACCGCTTTGACTTTCCAATTCGTTGGCTTCAAAGTCCTTCAGATGCAAAGGCAATAGGATTTAGAAGAGTTTTGTTTTCAAAAAGAACTAACGCGTTTATGTTTGCAGTATATTTTCATGGGCGGTATAGAGGTCATGATGGTCTACTAGACAAATTTGACGAAATGAGAATCTTTACAGTTCGTTCAGACGAAAGTCTTGAGAAGACTCTAAATGACTTTCAAACTCAAATAAACAAATACTACTGGGAATTTCAAGAAAAATACGATTCTTTACTAAATGGAACGTACTATCTGAAACTAGAATATGACAAGATGAACTCCACAGTTTCATTTCAAAGGATTGAAAATAACCCTCCAAGAGATACACAGTTTTTATTTTGGCAAGTAGACAAACGTTCTTGGGCACAATTTCTTCGGTTACTAAACCAGAACGAACCATTACCACCTGACGGTCCGTTCTGGTTTATACGCCCACCAACAGATTTGACAGTTTTATAGAAACGTGTTTGACCCTCAAAATGTCATGTGTCATGCAAGTTTCAGTTCAAGCAACAACAGTTTTCTTTGTATTGGTAAGGACTTTTATGACTTTGCTTCTAAATTCTACGAACCACCTAGTAACAGTTTCTCTGACTTTCAAGTTTGGTTCACAACAAATGGTGTGCAACATATTGTTCCATTGTACTACGACTTTTATCTCGAATTGTCTTTCATATATAACTACGGAGAAGTGCTGAAAAAGTATTGAAAAATATATTTAGGTGAAGAGGTGAGATTTCACCTCTTTTTTCACCTGTTTTTTCACCCTCTTGAATTTTCATGAATTTTGTGCTGAATTCGACAAAAATGAGTTTTTGGTTGAAAAAAGAGGTGGAGCCAAAAGTGGCTCGACCTCAAAACAAGCATTTTGTGAAGAATATACCAACCCGCGGAAAACAGCGGGTTGCTTTTTATACAAAATTCAACAGGTGAATTTGTCATGAATTTCCTTAAGATAGAAAAAAAATATATTTTAGGCGACCAGGTCACTCGGTCACTCGGTCACTCGGTCAACTAACATCTTTTTGAAAAAGTGTGACAACATGACATTTTGACAACAACACAGGAAATAGATTTCATCGTATATTTTTTGTTAAGACTTCATCGTATATGTTTTGTCAAGACTTCTTCGTAAATGTTTTGTCAAGACTTCTTCGTAAATGTTTTGTCAAGACTTCTTCGTAATGAGCGTAAAAGACCCAAAAATATATTTTATGTTAGAATGTTAGATCTAACATGTTTTCTAACACGTTTTCTAACATCGTAGAAAACTCTCGAAATTCATGAATTTTGACACTTTCACAAAAAACATAAAAAATAAAGTTAGTTTTTTTAAAAAAATATTTTTTATTTTTATTGTAAGAACATGTTAGCAACAACAGCACCAAACTCGTTAGTCATGAATCCTACGTCAATGTTGGTAGAGATGAAAAGCTTCATTCCTTCTTCATATACTTTCGAAACAAAAATCCAGAAGATAAAGCAAGAACTTCTCCAAGGAGATCTAAACTGTAGTGCGAAAGATGAAACAAATGAACAGTATCTTTATGAAATGCAGGACATTATTGACCATTTACCCAAATTGCCTGAAATCCAACAACAAAAACTAACCATTCCCGAATTTGACGAAATAGAAGTCAAAGCAACTGACTCAGTAGAAATAAAGAAGTTCATACGAAAGGTAAACTATGAGTTTCTAGGATTTCATTGCAACCATAAGGTTATGGACAAAGATTGCGACATGGTATATAAGAACATCTCTGACCTTTACAAATCCGAAGAATTTAAGACCTACGACAACTTTGTTTCGTTAGTTGCAAAATGTGTTTGGGAAATAAGAGATAAAGATAGTAGGGGTAAGGTATGGAACGAACAAATAAAACCCGCTATGTTTGAGTTAAAGAAAACCATTGACGCTTTAGTCATACTAGCAGGTAAGGTTTCAATGTACAATGCAAAAATGAACCCACAATGTTCTAAATGTAAAGCAGCAATGAGGAAATATAACTACTCCGTCAAAGAGATAGAACGTATGCGAAACGACTATGCAGATTTAAAGAAAGAAGCAGAGAAACCAGCAGAAGATAAAATGGACATGTTGACATTTCTAAACAAAAACTATCCAACAGCTGACGATTTCCTTCTATCTGACGTCAAGAAGAAGTATAAAGAAACTTTCGGTATCGTTAAAACATTCGATGTACTAAAAGAAGAAATTGAAGCCACGAAATTGTTTAGAGTCATGAACCATCGCAACATATACCATGTAAAACGCTTGTAAATAGTTATGTTAGAAAACATGTTAGATCTAACATTCTAACATAAACATTATTTTTATTGAATTCCGTATGAAATTTCATGAGTTTTGTGTGTTTTAGACCATGTTAGAAAACATGTTAGAAAACATGTTAGATCTAACATTCTAACATAAAATATATTTTTATTGAATTCCGTATGAAATTTCATGAGTTTTGTGTGTTTTAGACCATGTTAGAAAACGTGTTAGAAAACATGTTAGATCTAACATTCTACCCTAAAATATATTTTTGCTGAATTCAGCACAAAAATCTGAGTAAAATGGCATATGCTTGCTTCCCTCGGAAAACCGAGGGAAGAGATTCCGTACGAAAATCGTAAAAAATTGCGACCCGCGGAAAACCGAGGAACGCCTAAAACACATGAAAATCGTAAAAAAATGACCAAATTTCATGATATAACTGTATCTTTTATACAAAATAAAATAAAGTTAGTTTTTTAAAAAAATATTTTTTTATTTTGTATGTAAGAACAGAAATGTTAAAGGTTGAGTTTGAAACAGTTAAAAAGATAGACAATGAGACCAAAATAGTTAGAATTGGTGATTTAAACGTAAGATACTCAAAGAAATACAACAAATATTCTTTGTCAGACATTTTAACACTATCTGAAGGAAAGAAAGCACACGACTGGGTTAGAAATGCTTCTACTCAGAAAATTTTGACAAGAAATCCTGAGCTTATGATATCGGTAAGATTCTATGGAACAAGAGCATATCTTATAGACAAAAGTCTTATACCAGTAGTTTTGTTCTGGATTGACCCAGTTGTTGGATATAATTTCATAACATATGGTTCGTTCGATACGGAACGTTGCAGTGAAGGCTTACTTTACATCGTTCAGAAACCGAAGGACTTCAATACAAAGAGATATAAGATAGGAAGAACATTTAATATAACTCAAAGATATGACAGTATAGTCAATAGAGTTAAGGTTGCGTTTGTTAACGATATGAGAGCTGCAGAAACAGAACTACTTGAAAAGTTTGAGAAATTGTATGGTGCTCCCACGAAAGGTAAAGAAACGTTTGAAGTAGATGAGATAGAGAAAGCTATAAAATTATTTGACGAAGTTGCTGAAAAATACATGTAAAGCGTTTATTTTTGGTCTTTTGTGAAAGATAGAAAAAATAAAGTTAGTTTTATTTTTTTTATTTTTTTATTTTGTATGTAAAGACAGATATGTCAACAACAGAGAACACAACAACAGTTATAGTCCATGAAGCTATAAATGAAGAATATGAGTACATACAGTATAACAAACAGTTACGTCTCATTCGTTCGGTCAAAGATGACATGTACCAAATGCAAAGTATTTTGACAGCATGTTTTGCTCCAGATACTAAGCTTCCTAAAGACTGGTTTAGGAACCAAAGCACACAAGAACTTTTGAGCGAAGCACAGCGAGATATACTTTTTTCTGAAAACAGTGAAGAACAGCGAGTAGGTAAAAAACCCCAGTCGCCAAAACTCTATGAAAACAGTGAAGAACAGCGAGTAGGTAAAAAACCCCAGTCGCCAAAACTCTATGAAAATCGTGAAAATTTGCCAAATGGTTTGAGAGGTTGGTATGTACATAGACTTCTTGTAAATAATGTGGCACAATGGGCTTCAGCTCGCTATTCATGGTATGTCTGTAAACTTCTTGACGAACTTCATAGACAAGAACGTGAAGAGATGGAAAACAAGCTTGAAGCAAAAGACAAAACCATACAGAAAAGAATACCACGTTCGGTACCAAAAGGAAAGGAAAAGAACTATAAGTATATGATTTATACTGAAGAGATGGAAAATGAAGAAGACAGAGATATGGTTATGTTGCATTTAGTCAGAAGAACAACAAAAGCTTTTACGACCTTGCTAAGATTTACAAATCTGACAGAAATTGTTCTATCGCGAAAACTTACCGATTTCAATGACCCCAAATGAAGATGTGAAACAAATAGTTCAAGATACGTTACCTCAAACACACTATGATATTAAAGGTTGTACAATACTTACCTTCAAAGAAGATTTGCCGCTACTGAAAGAAAAAATAACAGAGTATTTTGACAACTTCAAACAAGCAGAGTAAATGAACCATTTATTTTTACGCTTGACTTCAGATGGCTCAGGTAGCTCTATAAGGTCAATTGTCTTGTCAAATCCTTCTGGCATTCCGAGTCCTTCCATCCGACATTCCGAGTCCTTCCTTCCAACAAGAAAAAAAATTCCCGACAACTGGAAAAAAATTTCCCGACAACTGGAAAAAATTTTCCTGACAACTGGAAAAAATTTTCCTGTTGTTCGTCCGTAAACCATTCAAATTTTCGAAAATTGAGAACTTTTTGGTCGAACGACAGAAAAAATTTTTCCTTCAGACAGGAAAAAAATTTCCCGACAACTGGAAAAGTTCTTCCTTCCAACAGGAAAAGTTCTTCCTTCCGACAGGACACAAACGAATGTCCGACGTTCCTCTTCCTGAATGTCTTCCAAA